TGGTATACTGGTATACTGGTATACTGGTATACTGGTATACTGGTATACTGGTGTACTGGTGTACTGGTATACTGGTGTACTGGTATACTGGTGTACTGTTATACTGGTGTACTGGTATACTGGTATACTGGTATACCCTGTGTATTGAATAATTAACTAGATTTCTCTAAAGTTTCCATGTTTTGGCATCCCATGAATACATATTTAAATACAGAATATTCACAGTTTTGAATAAATTATAATTCATTTATGATTTCTCGTGGTACAGTTTACTCTCGAATATGTAGATATATGCAGTTAATTTGGGCGGGTACCGTACACTGTACACTGTGCATACTATTCTTTATATGCATAATCTGAACTCGTGAATAACCCATTAGAGGTTTATATCTTTAATTATGGGAGAAATTGGTTGGGTTTAGGCAATGGAATGGCGTATAGGCCGGTTTTTAGATTTTAAAGAAAGTTTTTTAGAATCTTTAAATTTGTTTAAGAAAAAACATAAACATCTGGGCATTTTTATATTTGAGGAATAAGGTTTGATCCAGCAATAGCTATTTATGCATGGGTTGATCACCACTGGGTTTAATAACAACAATCCCGAGGTATGGTTAAGATGGAGATCATTGCTTGATCCCAGAATTCACAAAATATATGACTTCAGATCCAATTTTTTTGTGGCAACTATAGTTATTAAATCCCAAAGGTGTATAAAACCGGTCAGGATAAAAAGTTTAGCTTGAAATAATTTCAATTATAGAAATTTGGAAATTTTTCAATTTGGGGTGGGGGTGGGAGATTATTACCATATTTTTCTTGGGTTGGATTGGGTGCTGGGCTGGAGGGGGGGGATGTAGAGAGAGATTACCTAATGTAGGTGGACCTAACTCTGGTGAATGACAGAGGAAATGTGCTTCAAGATATTTTGTAGTTTTTGGACAAGGATCCTGGAGGCCGGTCAACCGACTTGACAGCTTACAATGTCGTCTTCCATCGCACCTGCAGATAGATAAATACCTTCCAACCTCTGTAGCTCTTCACTCAAACCTTTTTTCTATTTCCCTACAATACACTGGATGACACCTACTTTTGTATCCTTAGCGTCTAATATTCAGAACTGTCAAAAAAAGTCATAAAATAAAAAGATAAAAAATAAAGAAAGATAAATATACGATAGATAGATAGATAGTTTAATAGATGGATAAATAGAAAGATAGATAGATATAGCAAATATCAAATATCCTGAAAACGAAGTATTTTTGAATTTAGAGTTCTCTATCTCGTATTTCCTTTAATCCTTAGATTTGGTCAAAACAGGATTTAAAATCAAAACACATAGAACTGAAAATCCTGAAGCTAGAATATAAATATATAAATTGGAAGTCAATGATTTATAGCTACGACTATCAAGGATACCAATCAGTCAATTTCTGAATTAATTGTGATTATCTCTTAACTCGGCAAAACAGAGTTATACCAAGGTTGCTAATTGATTATAAATCTTAAGAAGATTTAAAACTTAAACATTGCCCTAAACCCATCTTCAAAGAGCACGATTTTCAAGGGTATCACCTCCCCCTTTTAGAAAGAAAAAATGCTAATTCCCCCCCCCCCCACCACCGTGCTTCTATCTATATACACTCCAACATATCCTGGTGACTTTTTTGATTGATTTTTGTCCGCCTATTTGATTGATCGAGTCTGTAGCAGGCCTGCCTGACTGCCTAGATGTCCTGGGTGCATGTGTCTTATAAGGTCGTGAGATTACATATGCAAAAAAGCAAATCCACAAAAACCTGGCTTAGTGAAGGATTCAGGGGCAATATAGGGTTAGAGATTTTTTCAAAGTTTAGACGATCGCGCAAAATAATAACTTAAAAAATTATAACTGAAATAACTAAACACGAAAAATCATAAATGAATATAATAAATAAGATAGATATCTAAATAAATAAAATACACGAAAAAATAATTATAATTTGGCGAAATTTTTCTCCAAAATATCAACTAAAAAACTAAATAAAACATACCTTGAAAACAACCATAATAAATTTCAAGATATTTTGGGGTCCCGGGGCAGGGATTTCCAAAAATATCTTTTTCCACCAACATTCTACAATTATTTAGACCATCACACCTAAATGAAAATAAAAAATAAAAAATTAAAATTAAACAAAAATAAAGAAAACAAATGTCTTCCCTTCTACTTGTCTTAACTTTTTTGGAGTCTACTTTTCTACAAACCTTCCTAGTAAATAGTGTATCTTTCTGTCTATCTGTCCATCCGTATATCTGTCTCTGTATATCTGTATATTTGTTTATCTGTCTATCTGTTTATCCGTCTATCTCTCTATCTGTCTATTTTTCTATCTGTCTATCTGTCTATCTGTCTATCTGTCTATCTGTCTATCTGTCTATCTGTCTATCTGTCTATCTGTCTATCTGTCTATCTGTCTATCTGTCTATCT